TTTGAGATTACACACACTTAAGAGAAAAAACAATGAAATGAGTGACAGGAAAGGAAGTGTCTGAAGGCCAGATTCTGTCCTGAGGACTTTTGTTGTGGTTAACCTGAATTTCCAAATCTACATGAAAGTTGAAAGGTAGCACTTGGATTGCTGTAAAGCATGCTATGGTTGGGCAGCATGTAGCTCAGGGAAGGGCAAAATGTAGCCCGCAGGCCAGATGCAACCCACCAGGTCATTCTAGCCGGCCTGTGGGGCCCCTGAAAAATTTAGAAAATTAATATTTATCTACCCCTGGCTGCCTGTCATGCAGCCCTCGATGGCTTGCCAAAACTCAGTAAGCGGCCCTCCACCCAAAATAACTGCCCACCCCTGATGTAGCTGGAGTTACTCGTACAATTCTTGGCACTTATAGCATATTTGTATATGCAAAATACTTTATATCAATTAGTCTTTCAAAAGTGTGAAGAAATCCCAGTAGGGGTATGTGAAACAGGCCGTATTTGATTCGGATTCAGTCTGAATCAGGGACAGGGATTCAAGTCATTGATTCGGATCACTGTCTCCAATTTGATTTGGCTGAAACTGAATCTGAAGATTTGATGCTGATTCGGAGAATCAGTGATTCAGCCATAGACACAGCTTTAAATGTTTTAAAACTTTAAATACCTCAAGGTACCAGGTGCAGCTTGTGAATGCTGAGATACTGGGGCAGATGGAGCATCCCACAGGTATGTGTGGGGGGGACCTGCATGCTCAATGGTGAACATGAAAGCAGACCAGAAGTACTTCCGGTCCACTGCTGAGCACGCTGGGGGCCCCCCTGTACCTCCCCAGCTCGGTGATCAGCTGTGGGGGGGACCCCAGGTGCCCCCCCAGACCCAGGAGGCACCAGTTGCTGAGCCAGGGAGGTGTGGCTCCCCCCCTGCGTGCTCCCCAGCCAACCCAGAAGTGGACTGGAAGCACTTCTGCCCCCTGCACTCCATCCACTCCACCATCTCAGCATTCACGAGCCACCTTGAGGTATGTAGAAAAAACACTGAAAGCTGTGTCTATGTCCAAATTGTCGAATCTTTCCAAATTGATTCGGAGGGTTCCAATTCAAGGCAGAGAGATTAAAGGTTCTCCTGATTTGATTTGGAGATTCAGCCGCTGAATCAGGCCAAATCAAATCAGTGACCAAAGGTTTGCACAGCCCTAAATCCCAATATGTGGCAGGCAGCTTTCCATCTCTTTTCTTTAAAAGATGTGTGTAAAACTAGGAAAGATGAGCTTGCTGCTGTATTTGACCATCCTTTATAGCTTTAGAGAGAAACTATTTCTATAGTTACAACTTATCCACTGCAACTGATCTGACTATGTCGCTGCTTACTTCTCTGATTTTTCAAAGCAGTACAATTCTTCACATTCAGCTGCATCCTCTTCTAGATTGATATAATGCTACAAAATCCACCAAAATTAAGTTTCAGAAGTGTAGGCTATGCATGGCCACTGAGAAAAATCTTAAGAGTTAACTGGAGATTGAAATTAGTAGAATTATATGCTTCTTCCACTTCTCCCTCCTTCCCACCAGTACCATTTCAATTATCTGCTCTTGCTGACACTGTCAGTTTGTCAATATCCAGTTCATCACTGTGCAAGTGGGGGAGAATTCTTGCTTCAAGCTTCAGTTCTGAGTTCTGCAACTTCCCTACACAGTAGTCTAAAATAGAACTATTTTTAATTAGTCAAGTGTTGCTTTTATTAGCTCATGTTTTGTTAAAAATGCAACCTGTGTCACCTCTAAACAACAAGCATTTCAAGTGTCTCTGATGATAAACTCCAAGTATGGCTTGTCATTTCCATGGAAAAGCATTAATTTATAACTAGGTTACTGAGACACTGAAATGCGTTTGAGAATAAAACCACACATTTAGTGGCAGACAAAAACAACTTGTTATATACAGATAACATAAATCACAAAAAAATATTATAAGAAGCTGCATTACAACTGGAATCAGATTCCAAGTTGTGCTCCATGTGTTTTGTTGTGGTTTTTCTTTTGAAGTCTCAAACAAGTTGGTCAACGTTAGCATTTCACTTATGTGTCTGTATGTCACAAGCACACACCATGTACAGCATATATATTTTCACATTACTGAACTAATCGAAAAGGTAGTTTAATAGCTATTTTCCCCCAAGTATCAAGTGAAGATCCAAGAGTTGGTACATATTAAAATACAGAAAGACAAAACAATTATGAATATTGGTACAATTAATTTGGAATATATTAGTATTTCAAATACATACAAGAAATTAAACAAACCTAATTTTTGGCACCATTTCCCTTCTATAGGGCATAAGCAAGATTGCCTTCAAAAGGTAGCAATAAATTATCGCCCAACAAATCTTTGGAAAAAAATATTTTTTTAACCAAGAATATTTTTTAATGCTGATAATTTTGTCAATAAGATGTTTCACCATAGAAAAGGTAAGAGTTATAGACAGTGCAATTAGTAATGTTCCCAAACCTTTAGGGTTAGTTTGTGCCAGCTTGTTCTGTGAACAGTCCTTTACACCTCAAAATGGATTACTTCCAGAGCAAGGTAATGATGAATATAAGTAAGGTGATAAACAAGTCAAGTGAGAAACTTTTCATTCTGTAGGAATCCTTACAGTTAAATGAGGAATTAAAATTTAGGGTAAGTGCTGTCAAGTAATGAACTTGCATTTTAAAAAAATTGATGAAACTTGGAAAACATTTATCTTTTTTCAACAAATGATGTACAAAAGACAGTTGCATAGTTACAATTCAAGCACATAAGTCACTGTAAATAATTACAAAGGCATTTATAAGTGTGCTAAGTTTGCTGCTACTAAAGACAGCCAAATCCTGGAGAGGCATTAAATGTAAACCTGGAGGAAAACAGTCAGTCAGTGTTCTTACTTAAAAACAGATCAATGTAAAGGAACAGCTTCTAAAGAACTTCATTTTAAAATATACTATGCAGCTGGAGTAACAGTTTACATCCTAAACAAAGCCATTCAAAATGCCCAATTTTCTCATATACAGCAGAGCAAATCTGTTCCTAAGTTTTCACCCTACATATAAAATGAGGCACTAAGTACACATATTTTGGAATATGTTTACGCCTTAACATTTTAGTTCATCTTAAGAGTTGTATTTGTGAGGCATTTGCCAATTCCTAACCTCCTAAGAAAACAAGTCTTCCGAAGGTGGTGCATAAGAAAATCCAACAAATGCATCATCTGCTTCCAGTACACTGGCATTTACAATATGATAGTCCGAGGAGATGCAAACTGAATACGGAACCATTTCTTCTGTAAATACTGCATCAAAATTCCTGATATCATCTGGGCCAACCTAAGAAAAATAATAAACAAACAATTATTAGGTAGAAGGCAAACAGAGTAGTAGCTTATAAACTAACTCACTGAGACAGAGTACAGCTTACTTTGTCAGATGCTATAAACGGATTTGTAGAGAGCAATTATTAGTTATATTAATATGGCATTTCTAAGCAGTTTTTTCAGGAAACACAGATTATTAGATTTCAACTTAAAAGTTAAATCCTCCCATAAATGAGAAGAGCAGCAGTCCCTAAAAATGCCTATAAAGTTTTTTCTTTGAACTATATTGCAGACCAAAAACCTGGAGTAATTACTGTTAAAGTAGGACAAACCAAAGTCTGATAAACCATTTCCAGAAGAAAAAAAAATGTGCTGCTTCCTAAAGCTTTGGAAGAGAAATTCAAAAAAAGTACAGAAACTATGTGCTCCTTTTTATTTTCATCTTTGAATATTTTAAAGCAATACTACTGAGAACAGTTTCTTGGAACAGCACTAACTTCCAGACAGAATAAATATTAACAACAACAGTACGGCCCATGTGTTTCCGGATGTCATAGTTGAACCTCTGAATCAAGAAGAGATGATTCTAGTTTAGACTTAGTATTGGTAAATAGAAGAGCTAGTCATAGAAACAAAACTTGATCCAAGGTTGATCATGGACCATAATGAAAGATTAATAAAGTAAGCCTGAATCTACAGTTTTGTTTCAAAGAGTATAAAGTCTTTAAGTCCTTAATCTCTTCTATCTAGTCGACTAGAAAATGCAGGAGGTTTGGAATTTCTTGAAAGCAAAGGTGCAAGAATTGAGTACATAACCAAAGCAGCAAGAAAAAAAAAATCTGAAAGAGAAGGGTTCCAGAGATAAATGGATTATTAGCATCTCCCAAAAAGGATATTAGCAATAAATAGAGTTCCTATAAGGAATGGATGAAGGGGTGGGAAGAAAGGGGAGGAGGAACAAGCAAAATACAAATCTTGGATGTTAAAACGTGTGGGTAAAATAAATCAACAAAAATATATTAGATTTTATGAATACCCCAAACACACAATCCCCCCCCTTCCATATAGTAAAAGATCTTGTGGCCATACAAATAAGAAAAATAGGACACCTTTTGCAGCAATGGTGGAGTAAAGGCAGGATAACTAAGGGGAACAGAGAAGCAGAAACTATTCCACTCAGGGAACTTAATGAGCTCAAGTTGGGGACATCCAGATCTGCCAGACACAGAAAGATTAGCTTGCGAATTACAGGACTGGCCGCCAGGATTTTAAAGTAATTATTTCAAACTGGGCGCAGAATAGAAAAAAATATTACCTGTAATTAGGGGAAGTGTGATCTAGGGACACTACATGATATTCACTGACATTGCAGTTATACTTGCAGACCTTCATAACAGATTGAGGTAAATAATAAATTTAATGAGCAGGGGAGGTAAATTACATAAGGTAAATTGAAAATTAAATGAAGCATGGTTTTACCAGACAAACCCAATCCCTTTCTGTGATAAGGTAACAGATTTTCTACATCAGTGATTCTCACTGAGGATGCTGCAGCGCCCTGGGATGCCTTGGAATCCTTTTAAGGGTGTTGCACAATATTACCACTGTTACATGTGCAAACATGATGCACAAGATAAACCCAGAGATTTCAAATTGATATCCATAGTACTAGATATATTCTGACCTGTTGTGGTCTCTCTCAGTTCATTGCAACAGAAGAATTGCTCTATAGTTTGTCGTAGTCAAAAAACAAGTGAAAACTAAGTGCTGGCATTTTCCAAAGAGCGCCTTGAATCTAATGAGGGGTGTGTTGAGTCTAGAAAGGTTGAAAACCACTGCTCTAAATAAAGAGCATGCAGAAGACCTATATTACATGGACTTCAGTTTAAAAAAAACCCAAAAAGACAAACAAACTACAACGAAACATATACACAATAACTTAAATAACTGATACAGTGTCACATGGGAAATTATTAGTTAAGATGGGAAGATAAATTATTGGGAAAAAACCCATAAAATGAATAATGAACTGAGTAAGAGGGAAGAGGATGATGGGCTATGCAAACAGAGGAAGTAAAAGTCTGGAGGGAGACTACAACTGGAGTTCCTCAAAGATTAGCCTTGCTAATTAGGCTTGGGTCTTACTGATTGGAGACAACTAAGGAGGTGAAAGACGGGCATATTACTTGATTGCACGGTCAAGACACCAATACAGCCTGGAAGGCAAATATAATGGAGGTGTAGGTGATGTATTACAAGTAGCAGCAGGGAATGACCAAAGTCTTGAAACGGTGAAGGCCAACCTTTCTGGCAGGTGTGCCACAAATTAAGCCCCAAGCCCTTCCGCAAATGCCACTCCAATTCTCCTCCTGTGCCCCGTCTGCTACTCTTTTTGTTCCCTGTCCTGTGCTCCCAATCTGACTCTTTGCCTTCTGATCCCTGCATCTGCCCCCAATCTGCAGTGTGCCACATACAGATTGCCTGTAACCTCTGGTTGCACCTGTGCCACAGGTTGGCCACCCCTGTACTAAGGCACTAGTATAATCATTAGTATGTAGCATTTTAATCCTGGAGACCCTTATTCAGGGGAGTAATTCAAATCTGAAAAGAAAAGGGCTGCTAGAATGATTTGTAGTGGTGATGGACAACTTAACAGTTTGGCTTAGTCATTTTAACAAAATAAGGACTAAGGAGTTTCTTTAAATTGTCACAAATTTAAAACCAAGCACAAAAAATGTTATTAAGCTAAAAAAAAAACCCATTGTTGACTCAAGAAGAACAGGAATAAAGTGGCTATGGGAGCATTTAAACCAGGGTCAAGCAATTATTTTGGGCGGAGGGCCGCTTACCCATTTTTGGCAAGCTGTCGAGGGCCCCATGGGTAGCCCCGCTCCCTGGTCACCATCTTGGGACCAATGTCCCAATGTCTCAGGGCCAGCAACGGTGGGGTCCATACTGGCAGGGGTCTGTGGAGCCAGGCTGGGCTTCACCAGTATGGAAAGGGGGGAGCTGGCCAGCTCCATAGAGCCCCTGCCAGCCGGGACCCTGCACTCCTGCCACCCTGCTCTGGGCCCTGCCAGCACAGGCCCTGGGACACCAGTGTGGGCCCCATGCACCCGCTCACTCCCAGTGCCCCCCAGCCCTGTGGTACAGGTGGGGGCAGTGTGCAGCCCCGACCCCCTGCTCCCCGGCAGGGAAGGAGCTGGTGCTGAGCGCAGGGAAAAGCTGCCCCTCCCCTGCCCTGTGGCTGGTGCTCCCTCCTGCAGCCACTCACAGTCCATGCAGGACTGTCCTGAGCAGGCTCAGGCAGCTCCAGGCGGGCTGTGAGTGGCTGTAGCATGAGGTGCTGGCCATGGGGTGGGTGAGGGACTGCTTTTCCCTGCACTCAGCACCAGCTTGTAACCCACCCCCATTGCCAGCCTGCGCCCTGTGCTGACTCCGGGCTCACCCATCAGGGCTGTGCATGGCAGCAGCAGCTGCAGCCCCCCTGCTTGCCGTGTCAGGCAGTGTTTGCCACCACTGCCTCTGGGCTACCCAGCACGCAAGCTGCGGGTGGGCAGCAGCAAACACTGCCAAACTATTGGTGCAATGGTGTGGCAAGCAGAGGGGCTGCAGTTGCTGCTGCTGCGCACAGCCCTGGTGGGCAAACCCAGAGCCGTTGTGGGGCCCAGGCTGACAGCAGGGGCAGGTTACAAGCTGGTGCGGAGCATGGGAAATGCGGCCCCTCACCCAGCCTGTGGCCGGCACCCCATGCTGCGGTTGATTGCAGCCCATATGGGGCTGCCTGTGCCTGCTCAGGACAGATCAACGCCCCCCAAGGTGAGGGAGGGGGTAGGGGTAGGCACTGCCCAGCCAGGGCGGGGAGAGGTAGCTTCCTCCAGGAGGGTGGTGGGGGTGAGTACCCCTGGATCTGCACGACATGGGGCAGGCTGCAGCTGAGGGGTGGAGCTGGAGCTGCACAGGGCTCTTCTCCCCGGGGGCTGGGCCCGGAGCAGACTCCAGTGGCACTGGGAGGAGGCTGCAGACACCCCAAATTTCGCTGCAGCTCTGCTCCCAGCCCCATGCCACTGCCTGCCACAGCCCCGGCTGAATGCCTAGTCTCCACCCAAGCACCAGGAAAGCTGCGCCAGGTGGTGGTGCAGGGCTGGGAGCAGAGCTGCAGCAAAATTTGGGGTGGCTGCAGC